CAGGGAATAGTGCTATGTACCAGGACTCCTAAAAGAAAAAGGAAAACAAGACCTAGTCCCTGCCAATGAAGTGGTTCAGGTGGGTTTTCTCTCTCTTTTTGGTGACTAGGTCAAGAGTCAAAATTGTTTTCTCCCTTTTGATTAGCTTGCAAGATGCTTGAAGTATATTGGAATTCTTACTTTACTCTCCTCCCCATCTTTGGACATTTAAGGCTTGGGATCTCAGGAACTTTCCACAAGGTCTAGCCTGGAGAGAACTTAGGCCAGGACCAAGATAGCCTGCTTCCCCTTGGCCTCTGGCGTCTTGTGGAGCTTCTTTGAACTATTTGAAGCTACTGTAACTGTGGTTTCTGGCTTCCTGAGTTCTCACACTGAGCTTGGTGCTGTAGATATCAGACTCCAGTTCCTGCCTTGGAGACTGACAGGCTCAATCTTGTTGATATTTTCTGTGTACATGGGGTCTATAGGTATAAACCTTAGCTAAGGGTCTTGCTTTTTAAAATTTCCCTTGACAGACTCATTACATAAATGCTTAGGGGTTTTATAAGGACAGAATATATAAGGACAAAGTAGAGACTGAGAAATCAGTTTCCTAATTGAATATAATATCATGTTAGGGTTTTAGTTCTACTTCTCTTTAGTTAGGAACATTTTAAATACCTCAGATGGTAAATCCAGTAAGAAAACATCCAAAAATATGCAGTTCACAATACATTTTTCTCAGATATTATTTAACATAAATGTGATTACTTTGTAACAGAGGGTAGATTTTTTTTTTAAGATTTACTTATGCATACAGAACTGGGGTACAGGCCAGAGGTGCAGGGGGTGAGAGGATTCACCAGAGACAGAGTGAGAAGAATAGTGACTGATGAAGTACACTGCTGAAAGGAGCAGTGTCTGCCGTTCCATGCCATGTGGATCACCTCCTGGTCAGGGATGGAACTTGCATCTTAGTGGCTGAGGCCAGCTTTGTAGTGCTGCACTTTATCCTGCTGTGCCACCAAGGAGGGCTGTAGATTTTTTTTTAAGATTTATTTATTTATGCATACAAGACCTGGGGTGTAGGCCAGAGGTATGGGAGTAGTAAAG